CTTTACGATATTTTTCGCCGAGATATTTGCAACCAAAATTTAAAATAGCCCTGTTTTAAAAAAAATCGTGTGCGCTGATTAAAAAATCTTAAAGAATTAAACTTGTGATTCCAACGTGCAAAACTGCAAAACTTTCAAGAAAAATTGCAAATTTCGACATTGAAGGTCGCAGACTTGCCCCTCCGGTTACTCAGTGGGCAGCACCCCCTCCCCTCCCACGTAACATTAGAATCACAATACTCTAAATTATGTCAGTGAGTTGTTTCCACATTGTTGTTTTATTTTTACTATATTTTTCACTCGATCTTAGCGGTTAATTTCTTCGCGAGGTCTGGTACATTCACTCGATCTCAACCGCTCACTTTTCATTGGAACTTTTTTCTTTAACTTTCATTCCGCGTGTTACGCGATTAGCGATGCAACGTGCAAGACAAATGGCGTTTTCAGCGAATGACTTTAATTTCGGGCCGAATTACTTAGGCCACGTGGTGAGCTTTTTTTACGAGCTCCCGGGCACGTGGCCTCCCGACGACTTTGCGTTGTTTTTTCCATAACTCGAGTCGTTTCCGCCAATCACGAGGGAAGGAACCACCCCCCTTCCCCCGCCCCGCACTCGCGGCTTCCTAACTCATTTGCCCCATTCATCGGACGCCCCCCTCCTCCTCCGTGCGGTTTACATCTTCCTGTTCCAATACGGATCAACCGCTGGGCACTTCTTCGGCGGAAATGCGGCAATTACGCCGAAAGCGCCGTTGCGCAACTCCCTTCGATTTCCCGCCCCGAGTCCATCGAAAAAGTGGATTTTAATTTCAAACTCGGCAATGTGGCGGCCGTTTGCGCAGCATGCCTAAGTGTGAGCATCCCTCAAAGCTCCACAAAAAATCGAGTCAATGGGGTTGATTAATGTGAAGCATAAAAAACTCCTTGATGCATTCAGAAATTAACCATTTTAACTTTCGCATTAAGTGATGGGATAGTAGGCGTCTTAGTGCTCTTAGAGGAAATGTTTGAGCGTAAGACCCGTAGGAGACGGACAAAAGTTCGGTTCTTATTCAACACCAACATTTTTCGACTCAGGTAACCCAAGTTCGGTATTAACGACCGAAACCTTAGTCTAATTTTCCTGACCTAAGCTGAATCGACAAACTTTGGTGTTTAATATGAGCAAAATTTCATTCCGTGGGACATAAGTTTTTCCCTTAGTGCAAAAATTGAGTTTCCTAAAACCAAACTGCTCAGATGATATGTAACCGAGGTGTACACACGAGTAAATTATTCAGTTTTCCCATTACCGAACTGTTCGATCTGCTGAACTGAATTGCAGCAAGTTCGTTTTCTTTATCTTTTTTGCCCCTCCAGATCTTCAAGAACACCCTCTGGAAAAATTTCAGAGGAATGGAAATCAAGCACAAATACATTGGCAGAATTTTGCAATTTCCTCGCAGTTTTCCCCTTAAATTATGCCGAATTAAAAAAACACGTGAATCGAATTGATACATTCGACATTTCTTTAATTGTATATTTTCCTATCTTTGGGAGAAAACCAATCAAGTTGAATTCAATTGCATCGATATTTTGAATCGTTTAAAATTTTAAGTTAAAATATTGGTTTGCTCTGTAGGCACATCATTTAACGAAATAAAATTGATTTTTCAGAGCATCGCGATCTAGACACTTTTTTTATTTCAGCTTGATATTATGCTATTAAGTACGAGAGTGGCAAACGAGATAATCCTATATATTAAAATGCAAAGTTCCGAATCTTGGGGCATTAACTTTGAGAGAACCACCGGACCGATTTGCGTGATCTTTTTTTTAAATGAAAGCTCCTGAGCTGTAGATTTGCAGGCTGTGATCGTTTTTTCGATTTTCTCAAATTTTCTTACTTCTATCGACGAGTGAAGTTTAGCTGAGCTCAAATTTTCTCCCATTTATTCAGACTAAAGTCCGCATTTTGGGACATTAACTTTGAGAGAACCACCGTACCGATTTGCATGGGGTTTTTTTTAAATGAAAGCTTCTGATCTGTAGATTTGCAGGCTGTAATTGTTTTTTCGATTTTCTTAAATTTTCTTACTTTTATCGACGAGTAAAGTTCAGCTGTTTCAAGCGGTCGTCCGGCCGCTACCTGCTTGCCCGTCCCTAGGTACCCCCTCTACGGTCTCAGCTACCCCTCCCGCCAAGTTCTTTCGGCTATCTCCGTTTTCTTTCGTATAGCTCTCCTCCCACCAACCTCAAAGAAGGAATTTTGGGTCGCATCGTCGTTCGTCAGTTCGTCACTTGCCACCCACATTCCTTCACCATCCCTCGACTGCTCCGCTTCACAGCTTCTTGATATCCTGTCATCTTCTTCTCTGCGGCTTGACTGACCCTGACTTATTAACTGCAGTATTGCGTATTGCTATCAACACGTATTGTTACAGACATTTTATTCATCATTATTAAATAGATTCAACTAATTGCTCCGATTCCAATTAAGCTACTGCCCCACCATTGCTAGCTGTGGAGGGCGCCCGTAGGGCGCCCGGAGCAGCTAGTCATCATATATTTTTGATAGAGTTGTCGTTAATAAAATACTAACAAGAAGAGGGTCTGTCAGAGAAATTGGAAATCCATTCTAATTATGGAACTCGTAAATTCCTAATGCATTCTTAAAGCACAAAACTCTATATGAAAAGTGCATCAGAAGAAAAGTCATTGGACTGAGTTTCATACATATACTCCTGATGCTCCGGCAAATCCAGTTTTTTCCAATATACATTTCCTTACTACAGCTCCGTAAGAACGAAACTAAAGATATTTTATCGCTTCCGTTACTGTAACTCGTTTCCTTTCATTGACTTTATTTCACTTTTCATCTATTGCTCAACCATTGTTCGTTTCCGATCTCATCCTTTCTTCTTAGTTTTAGATGACTTGAGAGGGAATATTGGTTTTCTCTTCGAGTATCGTCATGAGAGAACGATAACTCTTTCTCAACATGTCCTCGCGAAAACGTTATTTTTTCCCCCTTTCTTACTGTATTTTTTCATTCTTATCTCGAGAATGGCCATTTCTGCGTGATTTTCGTTTCCGTGCAGTGTGTGGGTGGTTTCAAGATAACTGGAATAGTTTTGTCGCCGTAACAGCAACACATTTTTCGGTCATATTTTTAGTAGAAATGATAATCATTCGAATTTTGTTGCATTAATCTTCAAAGGGTTACGTACTATAACGCTCTCTAATGATTTATTGCTCTACTTCTCAATTAATAGTATGTAAATTCCGGAAATGTGCTGTCTGTTTCACGGTAAAAAGTCAGCGCACAGATAGCACATTTTCGACCATTTATATATTAAAATTGTTCGAAAAATAGAGCGATAAATCGTTTAAAAGTGTTATAAAACGTAACCCTGTGTGGATTAATGCAAAAAATTCGAGTGATTATCATTACCACTAAAAATATGACCGAAAAATGTGTTGTCTGTTACGGCGACAAAACTATTCCAGTTGTCCTGAAACCACCCACATAATGGTATGGAGCGTATATACGAATTCCATTTCGACGCTAATAAAAATGAAGAGATCTCTATTGGACTCACGATGAGCCAAATCTGAATTTGGAAGCTCTGCATAAGCTCAAAGGCTTCGAAACGGGGTGGGGGCATTGATTCGGGTTTGGCTTCAAGCTTGTAGAACAAGGGAGGATAGAGAGGGTGAAATCGGGTGGNGGGGGGGGGGGGGGGGGGTTGGGTCTAATTGACGGTTTCTATCCATGCAGAGGACATCGAACGTTGCGGTAAAGGTCCAAGCGCTGTCCATCTCTCCACTCTGATACCAGACAGCGGATCGATTGTCGAATCCTTATCGAATGGTTTTGATCGATAAATATCTACGTTATCAATGCTATCGATCGATCGAGGTTTGTTCAACAATCGCTGGATCCGATCAAACCTCGGATATTCATTCGCTCTCCAACCCAATTCGCGAATAAACATGCCTGTCAGGCGATTCCTGTGCCGCGCAGGATAGGCAATTGGCAAGTCAGCAATGGAAGTGCGTAATGTGTGCTCTCACAGCGATTCTATAATAGAAGGAACGAACGTCTGTATATGAAAAAAATCTTATTAAATTACTTTCCCCTTTAAGTTTTTGCCAATTTTGGACCCCTATATTTCGACAAAACTCTATATTTTCAATGTAGAAGTACACGATCATATTGCATGTGGCGATTCCTAATCGCCATGTAAGCGACATTCATGTTGTTTTGATCATTGTAATAGTGCGAATAGGTATGATGAAGGTTTAATGGGTAGTGACCCTCAATAGCTGCATTTCGGCTTGGGTCGCCTTCATTTTCTGTGATACTCTACGCTTTGTCTCAGAGTTAGTTTAGTTGCCTGCCCGGTCCAAGCTCAACCAGGGTCATGCTTTGCACTACACGTTTTCCTAAGTGTGTCTGTTACTTTCATGTTTTTACTGACGAAAAAGTTTCTTTTCACATTATTTAAGGTAAAATAATTAGTACTCTAATCTTGTTCCTTTATTTCTGGAATTTTATGTTTTTCTAAGTGCTTGTTTATCAGTGAATCGGAAATTGCCGGAAATTGCTAATTTCCTGCGACATGTACAGTTATGACAGCTAAATTTAAATTTCTAAGAATACGGTTTTTCACAATATAATAGTATAATGCTTTTATTGAAGCATTGAACTAAAAAAGTTCATATTTTCCCCTGCCGATCAAATAATATAACATGCAGCACAATCAGGATAATATTGCAGCTGCCCATCTACAGGAAATCTTCTTGACGTGACTAATTCGTAATATAGCATTCGATTTTTCATTTCAAACGATGGTTTTTTTTTACGTATGTGTCATTTCAGATTTAAAAACATTCACTTTTTGAGGGAAAATTGTGAATTTTGAAGGAATTTAGAGCAGAATGCGTCTTTGACATGGAATTGATTTGTTTTATTCGGCATTTTTTCACACGGTTGTTTTCTTTTTCTTTGTTCTCAGGTCATGGTGGAGTGAATCAACTGGGAGGGGTGTTCGTCAATGGACGCCCTCTTCCCGATGTAGTTAGGCAAAGGATAGTCGAATTAGCCCACAATGGAGTTAGACCTTGTGACATCTCAAGGCAACTCCGGGTATCCCATGGTTGTGTATCAAAAATTTTATCTAGGTAAGTAGTTTTCTTGATTTCTTCGTAATGCATTAGTTTCAGTTTTTAGAATTGAGGAAAACATTAAGGTCTCGATCGAAAAATTACCAAAAATCATATTCCCATATTTTTCTTAAATAAATAGTAAATTGTTTGTTTATATCAGAAATCTAAGACAACGTCAAATTAGTTAAAAGCTCAGTTTCACTTAAGAGTCAACCTCACAGAACTTGTAAAAATGCATTAAATTGAAACGAACCATGTTCGCAAGATCCACATGCCACGTATTTCCTATTGCTTTTTATTCCTTTCCACATAATTTTCCTGACATTAATCGTTGTGCCCCAGACAACGGAACGTATCGACTCCAAGGTTGCACCTTGGACCTGAAAAACTCATTTTTTCACAGGAGTGTTACTGACCGATATTCGTCCAGAGAGCTAATTTTTGCCTGTGATCAGAGGGAAGATAAAAGGGGATTTTCAGTTAGAAACGGCCAACAATTTCCAAGTGAAAATACAATTTACGAACGGATTTTCGGCAACGTAGAATTCTGCCGTGCCAAGGATAAACGCCGTATGAACATTCGAGAGTTGCCAAATTTCCTTGAATATAATTTTCATTTTTTAGGAAAGTTATGAATATTTTCCCTTGCGATTTCCAGACTTCTCAGATCATATTGAGAAGAAAATCAACGGAGAAATCGGAAGAGAAATATTCGAAAAATTTTCTGAAGATTCGTGATTTTTTAAATAAAATTTGGCGACGCCTGATGGCTCATACGGCGTTTTTTCTCGGCACGAAAGACTTATTGCAGTTATGTTCCTTGGTCCGGGTAGCCACGAAATACTTCCACGTTAGAGAACTGTCTTCGAGGGCCGGAGAGGGGGGGGGTTTGCTAGTTTAATGAGACGCATAGTAATAATGAGGAGTAGTATGAGGCGGGGGTAGGGGAGGGGGGGCCCGCGAAGAAGAAATGAAGCGTCGCTTATAGCGGAGATGAAACGCTGCGCCGACTTTGCGTCAAAGCTGTGGCGGGAAACGCAAGGACGGGATTCGAGACGTACGAGTTGGGATTTCGGGACGTCGCGACGTCGACGTCGACGAAGGAGGAGCGTGGGACCGCGACGCGAGGTGACCAACCGGACGACGAGGACCAGCCGAGCGGCAAATCGCCCGCGCCCTCGGAAAAATTGTCACACTCCTAATTAATTAGATTTAATGACACGGCAAGCAAACAGATGCACACGCCGCGCCGCGATGCAGCTAGGCGTTGCGTCGCACGTCGGAATTATGACGTTCCGAGCGCGAGAAAGGCTCCTCATCTCCCGGAGCTGAAGCTCAGTTTCTCACACCGGGGAACAAGGATGCTCCCACACGGGACCCTTCTTCTTAGGCTTCCATCTACATTTTTAGCGCTCGAGGCTGAATTTTGTCATGCGTCCTAAAGATAGGCGCTCTTCAGGGGAGGATGTCTTAGACCTCCTCTACCGCACTCCCTCCCCTGCGGAAAGGAGAATGCTAAGTGGGTGAAATGCAGAGGAAAGTAGCTGAAATCCCCCTTAAAAAACCATGATTTTATACCGTTAAGAGATATTAATTGTGATTTTATCGACGCCTGGAACGAACTGGATTCAGAGGACGAAAGATCCAATTACCATTCATTCTTACGATCCTCCATTAACGAGCATACCCCTTTTTCCCACCTGCCCCTCGTTCCGTTCGGCAGAAATCCGTCCAATTTCAAGAGTGAGCCTGCTGATTTCCGACGATATTATTTTGCATCTCGGAATAGTTGGAATCATAAGAGAAGAATCATAAGGAATAAGCGCTAACGCCGTCGGAAGCACCATCACCATGACGCTGAAATATGAAAATTCAACCAAGTGGGCAATAATTCGATGAGGAGCGTTTAGATTGGGGTCGGGTTCCGGAGGAAGCGGTCTTAATAAATTGGAACAATCGGCCACTCCACTCGGGGAGGAATAAAAAGCTCCGGGTGGGAGTGGGGAGGGGAGGGGGGAGAATTTCATATTTTGATCAACTGGATAATAATTTTAGAAGGATAACTGGCGCGGTCGTGTGTGTGTATGCTCTATGTCAAATGTCACGGGGCGGCCGGGCGGGGAGGGCTGTGAAGGGGAGGGGGAGGGGCGGGAACCACCCCCGAAAGAGGCCGACGAGTGGCGGATAAGTGCAAAATTGAGTTAGCAGTGGCGTCCCCTCGCTGCGGCCGGCGGCACACCCACCATCACAACCGCGCCGCCTCGCCGTCGATGAAAATATGATGATGTCCTTATTAGGGCTCCCGATAACCCTCCACCTCTTTATTGCCCTCATCACCTTCATTACGATTATTATTACCATTGTCATTTTTATCCTCGCAATATTGTCATCCCCCCGACGTCTGACCCTTCCAACTCCGTTTTTTCCAGGGGCGGCCTCACTCGGGAGGTTAGCTACCTAAGCGCCCCGCGGCAGATTCTTAGGCACTCGGCTGACGTGTTGCCAGCAAGTTTTGGATCTGTAGCAATTGCTTTCGGGACAAATTTAAAATGTTGATCTAGTGGACGTATTTCTATCAAACAGAAATATGCGCTCGTGAAAAATACAAGGTGTGCTCTAAAAAGCTGCATAAGAAACAAAGTAGTCAGTGGGCGTGATTCCTTTTGAAGAATTTGAAAAGCGGGATTTTAAACTGAGCAAAGAGAACTTTGCGCCAACTGAATGCGGGATATATGAGCCGCGGGCATGGCACGAGAGCGTTGTGGACAGGGCGCAACTGGCCTTACACTTACCATTTTTGCCAGGGCTTTCAGTGTTTTTAAAAACGTTGAGCCTTGTTTCAGTCAGGTTTTCAGCCACCCTATGATTATCCTATTTTCGGGTCATGCAATTTGTGAGCCTTTGTTTCAAGAATAAATGCAGCTGCACGAAGATGACAAAGTTGACTCGAATGCGGGTAAAAATGAGCTCGTGGCTGCGAGATAATGACGTTGGATTTTGTCATTAGGGAGGAAAGCGGGATTTTATCTAAAAACTTCCAACGGTCAGTTAGCGGAGCGGACGGTGGAGCTTTTTAAAAAGCGCACTCATCCTCGGCGACTCCCAAGTCGGACGGGTCCTCCCTTTGTTCCCGTGTCTTGGGCCGAGAGTTATGGCCGCACACATTAGACAGGAACACAATCAGAGCAACACTCTAAAAAACCCCCGCGCGGAAACGGAACAACTTCCGCGGTCGCGACAGCAGGAGCCCCTCGCGGCCCTCGCGGAAAATTGCTTACATCAAAATCAGGGACTTGTAGGATCGGGAATCGTAAAAGTAAGAGAACAAACGAAGGAGCGGGGGCGCGGTCGCCGGACCCCGCAGAAAAAAACCCCCAGCTGCCGTGCAAAGGAAAAACACCGTATGAACACTCGAGAGTTGCCAAATTTCCCGGAATAAATCATGTATTTTAAAGAGGGGTTTGCATATTTTTCATCGAAATTTTCAGATATTTTAGATTCAATTATGAGCAAAATTCTCTGAAAATTGTAAGACAAATATTTAGAATTTTCCCAGTAAATTCGTTCTTCATTGAAGGTGATACGGCAACGCCTGAATGCTCATACGGCGTTTTTCCTTAGCGCGGCAGGAAGGCCGAAAAAAAGGGATTAAAAAGGGCCGAAACGGCAACGGCACGGGGCACGATGGTCATTAGCGGTGGCAAAGAAACGGACGCCCGGAGAATAAAAACAAAAGGCGGCAAAAGGCGAGGGATGGGCGGGGAGCCCGAGGATGTCGAATCCGGCGATAATCCGCGGGTATGGTCCCCTCGGCCGGGGGGGGGGGGAATGGCACCCCCGCGGGGGATTCGCGACGACACAAAAGATGAAAAAGAAGTTGGCTCACGGAGGCCACGTATGTGGAGAGAAGATATGAATGAGCTTCCTGAATTATGTGACTCATGAAATAATAAAACACAATGGCCATTGTGGTCACTGCGGTGGCGCTCGCTGGTCATCGGATCGCGGACCCGCGTCAAGTCACCCCCGCCGCCCCCGCCACCCCCGACCCCTGAGCCCCAAGAACCGCCTATCTCCATACGCTTCCTCGCGCACTTACGTCTTCCCGCTTAGCAGGGTAGTTCTGTCTTTCGCACAAAGCGCTCCAGGGTCCACCCGCAACTTTCCCAAATGCACGTATTTACGATAAAAGGACTTATGTGCATAGGATTCGTGTGTAACTTAGTTCCTTTTAGGAGGGATATGTCCGAATACGGTCCCCGGTCGCCCGTCATATTTCTCCCGCCGAGCTCGGGCAACGAACAAAGCCGCGAGCATGCACCGCTCCTACCATTTTTCAAAACTATCCGCTCGTCTAGGTACCCGCAATTATCCGAGTCCGCGCTAATTACGCTACCGCATATACTGTCGTCGTTAGAACCGTAGTGGCAAAATATTCTCCATCCTCAGTATCCACAGCCATTCAGATGTAGAATCAAATACCAGTAATTGATCAAAATTCATTCAACATGACTTAGGACTTTTAACTTGGGACTTTAGGACTTTAAGACTAAACTTAGGACTAAGGACTTGAGTAGATTGATTATCTATGGAGGACCAAGAAGGGGAGGATAAAACACACACACACCCTCATAGACAGAGGAAGAGAAAGAAAAGAAAAAATTGTATTGTCATCAAAAGTTGATAAAAGATGAGGTTGGGGGAACATGGCCGGATTTACCTACTTGCCACCCATGGGCCGCCTATATTTTGCCGCCCTCTTCTCATTCATTTTGAAATATCAATAAAAACCATCAAGTGAACGTGCCGGAGAAAGAAGGGTGCATAAGACGCGTTCACTAGTGTTGGACACATTTTTTGCGTAAGCCCTATCAACACTACTAGCAAAAGTTCACGGAACTTCGCGCGAAAGTTCAGTTCCGTGAACCTATCTCTGTGGGGACAAGGCCTTTCATTTGTAAGAAATGAACTAAAAAATTAAGAAAGAACAAACATAAATGTAGTTTAATAATTATAACTTCCGCCGCCGTGCCGCGCTGACCACACTGTGTTTGGCGCAATGCGTGAAGTATTCATGTAGTCTTGTAGGCACTGTGCGTTTCACGCCGCGCCGACCGCTGTTGACCGCACTGTGTTTGACGCAATGCGTGAAGTATTCATGCAGTCTCGTAGGCACTATTATGTGTTACATGCCGACCACCGCGGCGAGGGCTTCTCCTTTTCATCTCAAGTCCTTGTCATCATTTCTCTTCGCGCCGCGCCGCTCCAAGCCAAATTATGTGTTTGTTTTCTCTCTTAACTCAACTAATTAAAGGTGCGCAGTCTTTTGTGTCACGGAAATAAGACGAAATTAGAAATTAATGAACTCTAAGGAAATGAGAGATTTTGTCACCTTTTCTTGTTTGTAATTTTTTTCTGAATCCGATTTTTTTACCTGCATTTATAAAAATTGCAAAATTTGCCGCCCCCTGATTTTGCCGTCATGCGCCGCGGCCCATGTGGCCACCCCCTTAATCCGGCCCTGAGGGGAAAGAATGTTGAAGGTAGAATCTGGTATTGGATTTTCCCAGTAATCGAATATATGTAAAAAAAGATAAAGATAAATGTGCACTATGGCAGCCCGAAAACATAGATATAAAATAGGACAGGAAAAGGCGGGAACGAGGCTGAAAAACAAAATGATTTACAAGACACGGGACGTTTCGACCGGTCTCCCGGTCATTATCATCTGTCGAAAAAGAAAAAATTAAAAAATCTAGAAAAAACAATGTTACAGAACCCTGGTAAAAAATAGATATGTTGATTGCATCCTGGTTGTTAACAAATTTTACTTAAAATTATATATCCTAGAAATTCTGGGGTGACTGCCTACGAACTCAAGTTAGCATACAAGGATGTGAGATCAACTGCCAAGACTTGCTGGGCAATTTCTCAACACCCAGGATGTTGAATCGACAACTTCAAATATTTTGAAAACTGCTTAAGAAGTGGACTTCAAGATGTGATTGGTGATGGCGTCATAGTCAAAATTATTTGTAACGTCGAAACCACTTAATGTAAATGTGATGAAGACGGTCGCTTACAATGTAAGTACCTTGAGAAGAAAACTTGGATTCCTCACAGACACTGAACTCGGGCTCAGACAGCCGAAGTCTTTAGTCATAGGAACCGAAGTTTGGTCTCTCTGATGGAAGATTTCGGAATTTTGACTCGAAAAACTTTGGTTTTCGATATGAAGCGAACTTTACTTTCCGTTCAATCAAACATGTCCAGTTGATAGATGAGATTTTTGATGTTCTCTATTCATATGTTGCAGGTATTATGAAACAGGAAGCTTTAAAGCGGGTGTGATAGGCGGGAGTAAGCCGAAAGTAGCAACAGCGCCGGTCGTTGATGCAATAGCCAATTATAAACGAGAGAATCCGACCATGTTTGCCTGGGAGATTCGTGATAGGTTGCTAGCTGAAGGCATCTGCTCTCAGGATAATGTACCAAGTGTTTCATCAATAAATAGGTAAGTCCTTTATTTTTCAGACTTTTTTGCATACCTTCCAACCTAGTTTCTGCTGAGTGTCCGCATAAATGTACTAGGGGTACGCCTCTTGCCCGCTACGTGGCCCAACCCCTAGATGGTGCTTCGCGGACTCCTGTACGTTAATCTAAACAGAGCGAGCTCATCGACGGACTATCTCTTGTTAATAGCCGCAAAAATCATGAAAATTGGTCCCGGTTGATCTTGAGAACGAACTGTGACAAAAAAACTTTTACACGGTTTAAATGTGATACTTCACAACTTCATCTCGTGAAATACTCCTGCTTTATATTCCCAAAATCTGAATAGAACAGGTTCGTGGACGGACTATCAATTGTCAATGGTTGCAAAAATAATGGAAATCGGCCCAGTAGAACGGAATAGGACGAATTACGACGAAAACTGAAAATTTAGGAGGTCAGATAGCTTTTAGTAAGGAGTATTGTGAAAAAGAATCAAAACGACACTATTGACCAACAATTGTAAAAACACCCCTCTCCATCTCCACAAATCACTGAGATGTGGGCGATTTGCTGCCGAACTTCACCCTTTCGATATTCCCCTCTCGGGTTTGATTTTTTGTTCATTTTTTCGAACAAAAACGGAAACTGAATCGACGTACAGGGGTGAAAACGAATGCGTTTAGGGTCATCGATGTTTCCATTACTTTTCCCGTATGCGCTGACTTTTAATCAAAAAATTCGATTACAGAAGTTCGACATATGTCGGATACTTAAGCGGTTATGAAATTTAGTCCCTTTGGTCTCAAGGGGAGACATTGACTGCTTAGAATCCAGAGTGAACTAATTTCAACTAATGGCATCGAATAAACTGAAAAAGGGGTGTAAAGGTGATGATTGAGGGTTGTTGATATTTTTGTTTCTCGTAAGTGCGTTGTAGAGAAAAGTTCGTTTTACCGAAGGACGGTAAAAAGTTGATTTCCTGAACAATACCCTTATCAAGCAAATTTGCATTTTCCGATGGAAAAGGAATAGGGGAAACTGACTCAGAGCAAGATTGCGATCTGTTACAAAGTGCACAGTAAATTAAGTACCCCTAAAAGGACTTTAATATTTTAAACATTTGTTTTAGATGATGCCCACAGAATTTTAAGGATACTTTCAAAATATTTTCACGATGCTTACATGTTCTTGTCTGAAGAGTGTTCGAACCTCGTCTGAATGTTGTCAAAATATTTTCAGGATATTTCTAGGGATAATTTTTTCAGATCATACACTGTCTCTTTTTGAAAAAAGAGAAGTAAAAGTAAAACAAAACCAAACACCAAAAATACTCGTATAGTTTGCATCTATCCGTTGGAGAAATGTAATTTTTGAAATTTTTGGAAGTGCGCGTTCTTCTCGAATACTTAAGCAGTCAATTTTTATTGGACTTTGATTATTTTAAGTTTTATAGATCTCGTCAATTTTCCATCGTGAAAGTGCAAGTGGACGTTAAAGCGCTATCAACGTTGACCAAAAGAGGGAAAATACACGGAACGGTGAAGGAATGACAGGGCGGGGGAGGGGGTAGGGGACCGAGGCTGGACTTAGCGGAGCGTGACCGGAAATGAAATAGTGCACAAGTCTCCCAACAGAGTGCTCCACTGGGTGCCATGTCCGTTTCCGCTCTCCGGCCTGACCAATATCTATAATTCCTCCATGTTCTTACATAGTCCTCCCTATGTTCCATCCTCCATTATTGCTCCCTTTTCAAAGTTTACCAGGGCGTATTTGTTTTCGACGCGTCCCTAAAATTGTATGGTTATCTCTGCGTTGCATCTTGCATCCCGCAATGCATTCGTGCCAAGAATTCAATGCACCTACTTTAATTGACAAGTTCCTATTTCATTCTTTAAAGAATCACATGATCTGATCATACGGAAAGAAAGATCCCTCAGTGTCAAATATAAACTCAGATTGAAATACGAGTTCCTCTGAGTGTGTTAAAACATTTTCGCCATGAAAAAAGCTCCAAAATATAGTTCCGCCAAACAGAGGCTGAGGTCTCCTGGTCTCAACGTTCCGATAGCAATAATCGGGGCTGTGCATTTTATTGTCACAGTAAAAATAACGCAACGCTTAGGCTCTTATGGCCCACTAATTGACTAACTTAAATTCATGTCTAATGGTCCTCTTTTATTCTTCCGTTATTCTTTCCGCATTCTTTTCCGTTGCAGAATGCATCGAGAAATGCTTTAATTTCCTTTTTCCTTAGACCAACGCCCGTTGCGGAATTCAAATTGGACGTATTTCTATCAAACGGAACTATGTGCATTATGACTTGAGCCCTGTTATGCATATATTCTTATGGGTCTCAGGACTCATGTCTTAATGCACCTAGTTCCGTTTGACAGAAATACAACCAAATCAATGTTTGTTGCAGTTATATTTTGCATTTATTCCTATTTTACCGGAATCACAACCGAAAATGCGACCGGTGTTGCACTTCAGATCTGAGGGCCTGAATCTTCGGCTTGATCTGATAATCGACTGTCTTGCTCTCATTTCTGCTCAGACCCAAATAATTGGACGCATTTATGCTAAAAGGAATTTTGTTGCACCCAAATCCTATGCACTTAGTTTCTTTTGACATAAATAGTCCAATTATACCGCCATGCTCCGAAACGACGCCGTAAGAACATTCAAACGATGCCAATTTTTCCGATAAAGTACGAATTTTCTGGGTAACCCGTCTATTTTCTCCCTTCGAATTAATGCAAGATCTTGTGAGGGCAATTTTATCTCGACCATCTGAAAACTTTTCAAGAAAATAATTGTTCGTTTTTTTAAATGAGCTCTCGTGACAGTGGCGAGGCGTGAATGATGTATCGTCGATTTTTCTCCATTTAAAGCTACGTTAAAGAATCGATTATAAAGGCGTTCGTTGCGAACACCCTTCCTATCGATCCTTTTCCATAGATTTAAATGGCAGATCAATCGATATGTCGCTACGCCACTGCCTCGTGAGTTAGGTGTTCGCCCTGGAGAGAACCCTCTGGACTTTTCAATCTTTTATCGAAAGAAATTCGGCAACTTTCAACTGCTCAACGAGGTTTTTACTTAGTGTAGCAGTATTCCCTTCCTCAGTCAAGCCATTGATTGTCGGGGTTTAGACGCAGCGCGCTACGGAGCACAAGCCCTGCTTTGTGCTTGGCGGCCTTATTAACCTCATCGGAATTTTTGGCTACAAATCGCGCGTGTATAAATTAACTTCTCTCCCTAATGGTCGCCGAGCCATTTTTCTCGTTAAGAGCGGAACATCTGTATTTCGGTAGTTGTGACGGTTGACATTGGGCGGCCTATTTGAAGATGAGCGTAAGTACCGTGGAATCCCTACAGTGCTTGCACCTTTTTTCAAATAGGCCGCTTAATTACTGGTTATCGTGTACCTACCTACTGCTTGCATCGACTTATTTATAGTCTGAACGAATAAATTTAGTAGATTCAAGCTTATCTGATATGATTACTTATTATGCAATCGAAATAAAACGCGGTCCAATCGTAGTTGAATGTTTTGTAATTGGAGTTGTGCTAAATTGAGCCGATTACGTTCGGCCACCCGGAATCGGGAGTCTTGCAATTTTTTTTCTCTCGAAAGATAGCCCAATACTGCCGTGCTAAGGAACAACGCCGTATGAACATTCGAGAATTGCCAAATTTCTTCTGATATAACGTGTATTTTCAAGGAAAGTATGGATATTTTTCCTGGAAATTTTCAGGGCCTGTGAGTGGAATTGCAAACAAAATTATCTGAAAAATTGGAAGGAAAATATTCATGAGTTTACCAGGAAATTCGTGTTTTTTCAAAGGAAATTTGGCAACGCCTGAAGGATCATACGGCGTTTCTCCTTAGCACGGCAGAATAGAGCCATATGCTGGATACCAATGAGCAAACATGGCAAATCTCTTGCTCCTAAGCCGCTTACATTCCTTATCGATGATTTTTTCCCGTTGAAAGCCCATTGAAGGCAGGTTGCTTTAAAACTCAAATATTTAAGAAATCCATCCCAAAAATTGCTTAAAATTGCGTTTTGAAGGAGGTATACATGGGATGCGAAATATTCACAATTTTAAATTCTAATTTTGTTTGCAAAGACTGAAGAAATATGAAATTTCATAAAAATTCGCATTTTAGACGAGGTTTTTGCCCGGGACATCGAAAAACTGAGAATTCTGCGTCAAAAACATGAAAAACTTCGTAACTATACAAAATTTGACAAACTGCCTTAGGAATTCGATAAATTGCCTGATTTGCCTGTGACAATTACAAGCTTGAGTATGTTCCTGAATAGCCCTGAAGCGTATGGGCGGAGGAAGGGTGGGGGGGGGGCGTGGGCTGAGAACAGAGGGCGAAGAAATGACGCGGAGAAGGTAAGTGAGCGGATTAGCAAGGAGGAGGGTGGCTTCTAGGTATTGATCTTTTCGGAGAACAAGAGGAGGTCCCCGGCGTTCTCCTCTTCGATTGGCCAAGATACCGGATCCCGGAATCCCGGATCCTCAGGAAACGGGGCACAGGGTACTTACTCGCATACTATAACTTTATCACGCCAGGCGAACTTTCATCTCAACCGCAGCTTCGGGATCGAACCCTCCCCCCCCCCCCCCCGCCCCCGCCCCGGCGCCACTCGGAGCTTAATTCGAGCTCATTTTGTTTTTCAATTAAGCAAACAGACCCGACCGCAAAGCGAGGGAGCTCTCAATGCAAGCCATCTTGCCTTTTCATCTTACAGCTGTTTTAGCGCCCCCGCAACCTAACCCCCTCCCCCCCGGTCCCCCTTCGCGCACTCCCGTGTCTTTCAGCGTGATGTTTGTGTGCCTCTAATTCCGCCGCATCGTTTTGCTCACCTTCCCCACAATCACTTCCATTAACGCCTTTGGATCCTTCTACCCCTGTGTAATCCTCGCGCCGAGTTTGTCTCTTTCGAGCGGATTTTTTGGCGTGCGTGTGGTGACTAATTATTATGATGCTCCATTTTGAGG